CTGCTTCACGTCCCTGGCACAAAATCCAGAATCGCTCACTCAGAGCAACACAGACTTGCTGACCCCAAGGTGCACACCCTCTAGATGCAGAGAGAAAGTGAAGAAGGGAAAGATAATGACACTGACTCCAGGTCCCCCTGTAGGTGCTCTGCATCATTATATATATTCATTATAAAGTTGAACTGTGTACCTCCCCCACCCAACGCTGACATCCTGGAGTCAGGTACCCATGAATGTGAGTTTCTTTGGGTCTTTGCAGATACAATTAAGATGTAAATTAAGATGAGGTCACACTGGAGTAGGGCAGGCCCTTATTCTAATATGACTGGTGTCCTCATAAGACGGAAGAGAGACACACAGGGAGAAGGCTACGTGGCAACAGAAGCGAAGACCAGAGGCTGTGGCTGTAACAAGCCAAGGGACAGCAAGCAAATTGCAGGAGCTGAGAAGAGGCGAGGGAAGATGCTCCGTACAGGGGTCTGAGACAGCGCCGCCCTGCCGACACCTTGATCTCAGACCTCTAGCCTCCAGAACGGTGAGACAATACATTTCTATGGTTTTAATCACCAGGTTTGGAGTACTTTGTTACGTCAGCCCTAGAGAGGAATACAACATTGTCTAGCCTTTAGGCTCTCGCCAGACAGAAGCTATGTTTTGTTCATCCTGGTATTCCAGCAACTGGAGCAGTCCCTGGCACACAGTAGGTGCTCAGAATGTGTCTGTTGAGTGAGCAAGTGAAAAAATTAAGAAAGTATAAACTCAGTAGGAGAAGGGACTACGTCTTTTATTTCTACTACGAGCCCAGAGCAAATTTGGTGTTCAATAAACTTTACAGAACGAATGAACTTTTTTAAATGAACGAATGATAAGCTCAGGAAGGCTTTGCAATGGGTCTTATTCATGTATGTCCCCAGGACTCAGCCTATGGCCTGGCACACAGTAGCTGCTTAATAAATTCTGAAGGAGGGAAGGAAAAAAAAAAGTGAAGAGAAGGAGGGCGAGCTTCAAGATCAGAAACACAGTATCCCAATCCTCGTCCAGGTGATACCTTCCTCCCTTTAGGCATCTAACCAAGGAATGGCCAAGGCCATGAAGTCACCCGGAGATTTTCAAGCAGCCTCAATGATACTGATGGGACTTTCACAGGGGAACTCGGATGCTGTTTTTCTAAAATGCATTTCTTTTTCTTTTACATCTAGAAATCATAAGGCTTTCCAACCCTTCCAACAATGTTAGAAATGCAGCACAGAGTTGAGAGGTCAGCGCCTCTGCGTTCAGCCCTAGGGACACATTTCCCGTCCATGCACAGCCTTCATTCCTGACCTCTGCCCTGTGGCCAGAAAGGGACATCAGCTGGGCTCAGGGAAATTCAATCTGGTCTGACAGCTGGGAGCATGATAATAACAGGGCATCTGCCTTGACCCTTTGGAAAGCAAAGGCAGGGGTAGGAGGGGTGGGGGTGTCATAGAAGTTTCTCCGGGGCTTGGTTTAGGAGGGTCTAAAGTTTCCGTGGGTTAGTTTCTACATATGAACGAAAACCCTGGAAATAAGGCCAGCTGATTTCTACTGCTGGCTCAGAATTCAATCCCACTTCCAGGCACTGTCCTGGTGGCATTTGGGGTGAAAGAAAAGAAACACATTGTTCTTTATTCCCCTGAACTTGAGCTTTCCCAGGGGCAGTAACTGCCCTGTGGTGAGGTGTGATTTTAGTCATTCTTTTGCACATACATTCGCGTTAATAACCTGACAAACCAAGCAGGAGGTCCCTGGACTGGTCTCAATACATGGAGAAAGTCTCTGCTCCTGTGGGTTCCCCTTCGTGTCTACTGAACTCCAAGCTCCAACTCTTATCTGCTCCATGAAAAGATGCTCCGTACAGGGGCTGACCCCTTCTCAGTGCCTGGTAGCCGGGAACAGAGGGAAGTCTTTCTGTTTTCAGATGGAGCCCTCATGTGATCAGCGAACCCAGGGATGCTGGAACTTTTCTCCCTATCAAAGGGATCTGTTGAGATGGACAGCTCCATTATGTTGGCAGACACACACCTGCGTGGATTAGTTGATGCGCCCCTCCTGCGGCCCCAGGCGGTCCCACGCTCAGCCTAACCCTGTGGCTGTCGATCTGTAGGGGATTTGCCCCCTTCCTTTTCTTCTGAGCACAAAGCCCCATGAGGACCGGGTCGTGCCTGCTGCTTGCACCTTTGTATCCCAAGCCCCCTGGCCCAGGTCTCGGCATGAAGTCATAAGCAGTTGATCCACATGTTATATGAAAGAGCCAACCAGGGCGCCTGGGTGGCTCAGATGGTTAAGCGTCTGCCTTCGGCTCAGGTCATGATCCCAGGGTCCTGGGATCGAGTCCCGCATCGGGCTCCCTGCTCCTTGGGAGCCTGCTTCTCCCTCTGCCTCTCTCTCTCATGAATAAATAAATAAAATTAAAAAAAAAAAAAAAGAGCCAACTAACCAACCAACCAACAAACCAATAAACAGGAACAAAGGTGGTGGGCCTCATGTTACAGTGAATAGAGTACAATAGGCTTTGATGTGTTCTTACTGAAATAGAGCATACATACGTAAAATTATCGGTGTCACAGGTGTGCCATTGAAGGAATTTTTACACCTGTGTCACCAGCACCCAGATCGGGGGACAGAACATTTGCAGAAGCCCAGCAGGGGCCTCGTGTTCCCTTCCTGTCACTGCCCCATCCACTGGCCAGGAAGCCGCTATCCCACCAGCTGCATGACACCTGGCAGTTACCTAGCCTTGCTGACTCTTACCTTCACCTTGGGAAAAGAATACTGACCTTCCATGCTGTGAGGATTCCATTTTTAAAATGTGTGTGCAGTGCCCGGCCAACACCAGTGGTAAGGTAGTAACAGCCATAGTCCTAGAAGTACCAGTAGCCACAGTACCAGCACCAAGAACAGCCCAGAAGTAACAGGAGAAGTAGTCAGGACAGGCAGTAGTAACTGCAGCTGCGGTCAGGTGGTTAACAGAAATGGTAGTGTTGACAGTAGAAGCAGTAGGAGCAGTAAGAGCTAATACTTAGCACTTATTGTGTTCCAGGCACTGTTCCAAGGACTCTACCTTAACTCATCTAATGCTCAAGGCAACCCTTATAAGGATGTACGAAATGGGATTTTACTGAGGCACACAAAGGTTAAGTAGCTTTCCCGAGGCCACGCACCTACTGAGCCACGGGTCTGGGAGTCAAACACCAGCGGTCCAGCCACAGAGCCCCTCCTCTTAAAAGCAATCCTTCAAGAACTCTTTGCTTGGCAAAGCAAGCTGTCCTCTAATATCTGCTCTCTTCCTTTTCTATAAGAACAACTCTCAATTTTGGTAAGCACATGGTCTTGTAGAATAAAGACCACATTTCTCAGCCTTCTGGCGGCTGTGCAGAGACTAAATTCTGGCCGATAGAAGTAGAAGCAGTGGGTGCAATATTCAGAAACATCCTTAAAGGGAGGGAGCCTGCCTTTCTTCTTCTCTTGCCTTCTTCTTGCTGGTAGATGTGATGGCTGGAGCAGCAGCAGCTACAGTGGACCATGAGGTGACTTGGGATTGGAGGCCCACATGGCAGACAAACAAGAGCAAGTGCCTGGGTCTCTCAGAGATTGCTGTGGCAGCCCTGCATAACTTGTGTCTGAACTTTCAGGTTAAGAGAGAAATATACCTCTCTCTTCTTTAAGCCAACATTTATTTAGATTTCACATCATTCATAGCAAAACGTGATCCTAAATAATGCACTGGATTTTGCAATTATAATTAATGTCACCCGAAAAGACACCCACAAAACTATCACTTTTGTGTTGGACTCTTGACTTAAAAAAAACAACAACAACAACAACAAAATAAAACATGACTTCGGGTATTCCTCTAACAGACAAACTAGGAAAATAATCATACAAAGTCTCATTTACCCCAAAGGTAGTAACGGTTCCTTGTCGGTTCATGTTGGGGTCACATCAAAGCCTCTCAGGTTGGCCTCCCTTCCTCCAGCCTCTCTCATATTCATTCAGGGCAATTCTGCTTGTCTAATGCTACTTAAAAACGATTTCTATCCTAAAACTTGAAATAATTACAATGCTCTATATGTGCTTCCTTTACACAAGACACTTTGTCTAGTTTTTCTAGCCCACACACAAAAATATAAAACATAAATATTGGGATTTCCCTTTCAGAGAGGTGAAAATGGAAGAAATGGAGAGGGTCAGTGACTTGCCTGAGGTCACACAGCAAGTTGGTGCCAAAGCCAGAATTCTACCACTCCCTCCAGCACCCATGCTCTTCCCACTACCAAAGCTGATTTCTGGGAAACGCCAGTCACAGCAGACTGACCCTAGGTCAAGTTACCCTGGCAACTTTAAGATTCACGGACTCTGACGTTTCTCTCATCTTCTTGTCCAGTCTAATTTTTTATCATCCTCTAACACAAACCTCCACCCACTGAGGTCAGACTCCGTAGACTCTTATCACGTGCCCCTACCCCAGGCCTCAGTATTCCCAGCTGCAAAATGGGGCAAATTATACCTCCAAGAGGGAACATGGCATAGAGGAAAAAGGCAGGAGACCTGGAATCAGGAAAAACAGACTTCCAATCCAGCTGGGCATGTTCTTTACCTGTAGAATGAATGTAGTAATTCCTCCCTCGCGTGGACTTAATGAGAACCTGTTTCTAAGAGTCGTTCAAGTAAAACAGCATCTACTGTGGATGGTGTCATCTTTGTTGCTATTCCTGACTTCATTCTGGAACTGTCACCCTGTCACCTTGCCTTCTGTCCGAAGGACACAGGTGAGGTGACAACAGGAAGCACTTTGAGAAGTCTACAGCCCTATAAATGCCACACATCCGTTTGCCACTAATATTCACACCCACGGTGCCTTTATCAGATGCTAGTCTGCAGTTTGATCAAATTTTGAATTTCAAACCCCTCCCCCGCAAGGAATCCCTCCGCATTTCCCAGGCTGGGCTCTCTAGACAGGATGGGCTGAGGCCACTCACCGATTCCATAGTGAATCTCTCGACGAAAAACTGGAGAGCCTGGAGGCTGAAGATCTCATGTCTCAGCCGTCACATCAGAGAATTACCTGGATGGGGGAAGGAGAAAAGGTGACAAGCATCATCCAGTGGGACTGGGCAGAAGACATGGTCTCAAAGCAACATGGGGTTCCATGTGGAGGCTGGCATCCTTGTGAGGAATGTTCTGACACCACCGAGCGGCTGTCCAGGAGTGGGAAGGAAAACAGCCAGCAAACCACTGTTTCAGCGATCCACCTTGGGGCTGGTGTCTCTATCCTCGGATCTGTGCGAGTGCTCAGGGATCCTTCGTGAGTTCTATTTCTAGCTCTACAGTCGAGAGCAATTTACAAGTCATTAACTTCTCTAAACATGAAATCAAAGTGTGCTCACAGGTGCAACAGACAGACGGACCCATGCAGCCCTGTGCCCATGGGAAAGTGGAGGTGTCCCCCGCTCCCCAACTGGCCAAGGGGACCAGCCCAGGAAGGAGGTAGAGCTCTATGAATATACATATTTCAGGACAGCCCCTCTGAACCTGAGAGAGGATTGTAATTAATTCATGCATACCAAAGCTTAATTGCTGAGTGCACAGAGCACAGGAAGTCTGGGATAAAAGGTGTTACATAAGGGAACGGCTTCAATATTTGCAGAATGGAGTGGAAACAGAGGTGAGGAGTGGAAACAAGATGAGCCAGGGGACCTGCTGGATCCTTCTCCAGTGATCGCTAGCTCAGTGTGGCACACCTCTATCTGGGGCCAGAACCCAGGGACACTCTTGACCCACCGCCTTCCTATCCCCATATCCAATCCATCCCAAGTCCTGTCTCATTTACTCCCTAAAGATCTCTCGACCTCTCTCTTTTTCTCCATCCCCCCGACACAGCCCTGGACCAAGCCTCCACCCTTCCCACCTGGGCTTCCTTCCTGGTCTCCTTTCATCACCATTTCTCCCTCTGAAATCCGGTCCCCCACACTGAAGCCAGAATCATTGCTTGCTTTTTTTTTTTTTTTTAATCTTTTATTGTAGAGAATTTTGTAGACACAAAAATAGAGGAGAGTATCCTGAACCCCATATATCCACTGCCCAGCCCCAATCACCATCAACTTAAAATCCATCTTCCCTCTCCCCACATCACTGTTTCAAAGCAAATAATCTTACCATTTCAGTCATAAGTAGAACAGCATGTATCTGTAAGACCAGGTCTTTTACAAAAATAGAATTGCAATAGCATTCCCACACCTAAAGAGATTGTAGAATTCCCTGACATCACCAAAGATCCAACCCAGGTTGTCTGACTGAAAAAGTTCAAGCCAGGCTTCTCTTCCCCAGAAGCGTCTGGTAGATGCTCAAAGCATCTACCTCACGATCCCCTGGTCCACCATCCTACCTCCACTCTCGTCCCGTTTCCTTCAGTGGGTCTTCAGGAGAGGCTGCTGGGGCAGAGTGGAACACCCACCGAGCTTCAAGCCCAGCGTCCCCGAGTTCCGATCCAGCTCTGCCCCTGAGCAGAGCCTCGTCCTCGTCAGTGAGCCTCTGTGGCTCTCGGGTCCCTTGTTTGTAAAACAAGGCCACTAATCCTAGCCTAGCCTATGTTACTGGACCGGTGTGAACCTCCAGAGAGAGGGCGTGTGCAAGAGCTGTGTGAGGTGTGACACGCCAGAGTCAGCTCACACCCTGCTGCCCCGACTCGGAAACCACTCACACCAACTTAGCATCTACATATGTGGCAGTCTCTCACCCCCGCTGCTTTGGTATCCATTTATGCTCTGAGACTGTTTGGCCCCCGCCCTGCCCCCGCCAAAAGAGATTCTTTTTTTTCCAGTTATGAAGGTAATCTGGGTCCATTATGAAAAATACTAAGGCATAAAACTAAAATCTGTTATTATCCTAACACCTAGAGATAAATACTATTGGGATTTTAAGGCTATTTCCTTCCTGGGATTGGCTTTTGTAAGGAGGAAACAAATAATGCTTTTCAACTAACAGGATTTCTTTAGAACCAGGGCACTACCAGTAATTTTAAAAATACCACTTTGCATGCATTCATTCAATCACTCATTCAGTGATTTGTTCTGTGCCTACCATGTGCTAGAGACTGTTCTCACTGCCTGAAGTTGGAGCCGAGAGCAAGAGAGAGTTCATGATCTCGAGCAATAAGCATTCATTCATTATTTTAGAATTCAACAAGCAGAGTGAGCCTACTATATATTGGGCACTTGCTAATAAAAATAACAACAGCAGCTTCTTTGCTAGACGCTGTACTCTAACAACCTTGCTTATTATTAAAAGTTGGCCCTTAAAACAAATGCATCTGAGTTAGAGCTCAGAATATGGCTCTTGGATGAGTTATTTATCTCATACTACAGTTTCCTTTTTAAACTGGGATAATTGAAGTCCTACGTCATATAGTCACGATGAGAATCAGTGAGAAATGCAGTTACACCACTGAGCAAAATGCTTGGTTCCCAGCATCCAAGGCATGAATGGGAACTAGTAGTGGGGGCAAGTGATATTATGGTCTCTCTGATCCTCGCAGCCATCCTACGGGAAGGCGAAACTCAGAGGTTAAGGAACTTGTCCAAGGTTATGCAGGTTCCCACTTAGGCGCATGGAGCTCAGTTCCATTAGGGACCCTCTGAGGGACGTGGGGAACACACCGCAGGACTGCCATGCTAGGGTAGGGAAGCTGGGGCATTTCTGCACCAACTCCCATGCCTCGCTAGCCCAGCAAAGCTGGGGGGGTGGTTGAGGCAGACATATAGGAAGCCCTCCATGGGAACAGACACTTGCCTGCAGTGCCTTCCAGGGTGGGCTCAAAGATCCGGGCAGGAAACACACAGCACCTATAAATAGGTGTTCAATAAATACATGTCAGAGTAAGTGAACATTGCTATCAACCCCTGTGCTCTTCTTTACAACCTCTCATTTCCCGCTGCCACCAGTGATGGGAGATTGAAAGGAGCAACCTGCTCGAGTGAACCAGAATTCATTACCATGGAGCATCACACCTTTTACCACCCGTGTTTCTGCTGCTTCTACTGAAATTCTATCCTGTGACTTACAGGATGTCTGTCAGGACAGCAATTCCTGCATGCCACGCAGGAATAAGGGACATAATTCACTTGGTACATAAACCCCTCTTGACTGCCAATCCCCAAATAGGTGGTGAATTTTATTCAACAGAAGTGATGGCACGGATGTTGGGATGTGTATCCTTTTATGGAGGATGTTATGAACTCCTGAGTCATCTGCAGCTACAGCGTGGACAATGTCTTTTTTTTCCCATAACATCACAGCAAACACTTGGCCTATTTACTGATGAGATTCTTTCCTGGTCTGTGGAAGCTGTACTTGGAAAATCAAGGAGCTAGAGAAGACAGCCTGAATTCATATGATTTCTGCCAATCTTCATCTTATCTATTAGAAGCCCAATTTGTCCAGTCCCACTTGAAATTCCCTCTCCTCCAAGAGGTGCTCTCCAACAATCTAGCCATGCTGAATGAACTCTCAGGGCCCTTAACGGCAGCAACAGTGACCCCTACTGGGCACTGTCTTCGAGCCAGACCCATCTCGGGCATGTTGGCCACCCCATTCAATCTTCACCCTAATCCTGCAAGGAACTGTGATTGCCTGGATTTTGCAGATAAGAAAACTGAGGCTCACAGAACTTAGGTAGCACATGGTCACACAGGTACCTGGGGGTGGCAGATTCAGGATTCAAACTAGGAAGAGCTTGACTTCCAAGCTCAGGGCTTTGCTGACTACGCTACATAAAATAGTATAAATTAACACTGAATATACCCCATTACTATTTCCTGATTGTTTCAACAGTGAATGCTGGGGCCGCCTTGAGCCGGTCATGGGGATTCCGTACTAATAGCTACATCTCTCAGTTTCCATATACACTAGCAAGCAACAAGTCCTGCCTCCCTAGCTGCCCCAAGGAGCCCTGAGTTAGGCACCTGTGGCCTCTCTAGCCAGGTAACTCTGGACTCTTGCTGCTTCTCCTCATCCATCTTCCTGCTGCCTGCCAGCAGGTTTTGGGATGAGATGCTTCTATTGACTCTGCCCAGGACTACTCATTCAAGTATGATATAGAAGGAAGCAGATGAGGGGTGCTTTGGTGGCTCAGTCGGTTAAGCATCTGCCTTCAGCTCAGATCATGATCCCAGGGTTCTGATAATCAACTCCCACATCAGGCTTTCTGCTCAGTGGGGAATCTGCTTCTCCCTCCCCCTGCCCCGTACCCCTCCCCCTCTCATGCTCTCTCTCTCTCTCTCTCTCTCTCACTTACTTTCTCTCTCACATAAATAAAATCTTTAAAAAAAAAAAAAAAAAGAAGGAAGCAGACAAGACTCTGTGGAAGTCAACGCCAAGAAAGATCAAGGTGCTCTGCCTAACAATTCTGACGCCTCTAGACCTTACCCTGGCCCCATCCCCCTGCCTCACTTGCTGGTTAAAACAACAATCAAAGATGGTTTGGGTCTCTCCTCTCCAAAGAAGAGGTCAGGAAAGGCTGTACTCACTACCCTTCATGATCCAAAGGTCTTTTTAGATTATAAATTTACAATGACTGTGACCATGTAACTTACATCCTATGCCCTGAGTGCCCGGCACAGGACAGTAAGGAGGGGAAGTTAGGGTAGACTGAGCTCAAGGTCCAGAGGTGGTGCATGGGTCAGGGACAGAAACAACAGACAGGATGAACGCTCGTAAGCGGTCTCATCTGGGTGTGAACACAATTGCACAATACCTGCCTCACAAACATTTACTAAGTGCCAACTGCATGCTATTTTCCATTGGTCAGAGCTTCCTGTAAGGAGACTCATCTGTTGGGAAAATGCGTCCATCCATCCATCCATCCATCCATCCACCAATTCATTTATTGAAAAAATATTTGTTAAGCTAAATGTCAAGGAGATAATGATGGTTAGCGAAACAGCCTTGGTCTCTGCTTAGAGCCCATGTTCAGAGAATGAGACCTTAATCAAATAACCCCACGGGTGATGAGAGAAAGAAGTACTGCGTACCAGAGGAATCTACATACTACAAGTGAATCACGATCCT